GTTATACGATTGATATCTCGAGCTTCGTGCAGGCTGCATGTACTTGCAGAGCCATAACTATTAGGTTGTCTCATAAGTGATGTCGTTTTTTTTCAACCAAAAAATTTTCATCTAAATCATGGAACTTTTACATCGTTTTATATATATTTCGAAAGATATATAAGAACTAAGAAAATTTCTTCAGCATGGCGTGATCCCATCCCACGCAAATCATCCACATCTCCCAGCTCCGATTAACAAGGGAGGTCGTTCAGGGTGTGCCAAGCTTTTTCAAAATGGTTTCTTGCATGACATAGGGGCACATGTGGGAACCACAGAACCATGGTTCATTTTTCCTGAACGGCCCTCTGAATACCAGAAAAGGGGGTCCCTAGTTCGATTCCTCGTGGTGACAAATTTTTGCATTTCGAGTTGACGTTTCAAAATTCGCGCAAAATGGAGTTAGCATGAATAATTAGTACCATATTCATGATTAGGACCGTCAGTAACCCTTACAAAAAGACTTTGATTAAAAAACTGGTGAAAAGGTGTGACACCAAAACGGCCCACTGTGATGTCACACCTTTTCCACCAGTTTTTCAATCAAGTCTATTTGTAAGGGTTACTGACGGTCCTAATCATGAATATGGTACTAATTATTCATGCTAACTCCATTTTGCGCGAATTTTGAAACGTCAACTCGAAATGCAAAAATTTGTCACCACGAGGAATCGAACTAGGGACCCCCTTTTCTGGTATTCAGAGGGCCGTTCAGGAAAAATGGAACCATGGTTCTGTGGTTCCCGCATGTGCCCCTATATCATGCAAGAAACCGTTTTGAAAAAGCTTGGCACACCCTGAACTTGTAAGTGAATATGAGAATGATACAAATGATTAATGAAGATGAACATGATGAACTACGAAATAGGCTGATCATTGCAAGTCACGGGTGGCAAAATACGCATTTTAATACTTCTATCATACATTTTCGAGTGGCAGCAGAAGGCGTGGCGCATCCTATTTCCCTTCTCCTGACCACTAAAGCACTTAAAGCAGAGCATTGCGACCCTTCGTCTCTTTACAGTGGTGCATCGTCCTCAGTAAAGAATCGTGAGAGACCACCGTCAAACCTTTTCCTCTGAACCAGAACGAGTTCTCAGGGGTGTGTATGGGATCACACTCGATCTACGCGTTTCGCAGACCGTCATCGTCGGCGTGCCAAAGCAGTTCACTCCGTTTGTCGATACCACTACGCCCACAGGCCAATAGCATGCCTGGTTTTCCTCTCGATCTAATAGAAATATTGTCCTTCAATAGTTTAAAGCCCCTTTG